ATAAAGATCAGAAGATGCAATCCTGAAAAAAAGCAACCTGAAAACAGAAGAAAAAAGGAGTGCAGATTGCAGAGTCCTGTATTAGTGAAGAAGGCTAGTCTTCACGTGTGAATTCTGTCTAGGAATACTTGTAATCCAACCAATTGTCTGGTTGATGATTGCATTTGTTAAGTAGATTCTAGGTTGTGTCTCACTCGAAGCTGTGAAGCAAGAGTGTGTGAGTTCCTTGATCAAAGCTGTGAAGCAAGATCAAGGTGTGTGTGAAGTATCTCTTCATACTGTTTTGTATTGTAATTGTTTAATATCACTGTTGTGTGATTGAGGGAGAGTGAGTGGGTATACTTAGGTCTAGAGTGTCTCTAGGTTAAAGTGTCTCTAGGTTGAAGAAAGATTCCAAGATCAGTGGTACTTGGACTCAGGATGCTCATCACACATGACTGGAAGGAAAGATTGGTTTGTTAACATGAAGCCCTCGTCGAAGAACACAGTGAAGTTTGCAAATGACAACACTCTAGCAGTTGAAGGTGTTGGTGATGTTCTGATTATGAGGAAAGATGGCAAAAGGTCAACAATTTCCAATGTGTTGTACATACCAGACATGAAGAGTAATTTGCTCAGTATAAGGCAGCTTGTCGAAAAGAACTACAAGGTAGTTGTCGAAGACAAGATGATGAGAGCACAAGTGTCTAGCAACTACAACCAACAGAGATGAGTGGTTATGGCATTTTCGACTAGGTCATCTTAACTTTAATGACATCAGAGAACTGAAGAGAAGAAGTATGGTTTTAGGATTACCAGAAATCGACATTCCAAGTGAAGTCTGTGAGGAGCGTGTTCAGTCGAAACAACACAAGAATAGCTTCAGCAAGGATGCATGAAGAAAGTCGAAGGCAATACTTGAAGTCATATACTCTGATGTATGTGGTCCAATCCAGGTGGATTTGATTGGTGGCAATATATACTTTGTCACGTTTATAGATGATTACAATCGAAAGCTGTGGACTTACCTCATCAAGAAGAAAAGTGATGTGAATGAGGTATTTTCCAGATTCAAGTCCATGGTCGAAAGACAGAGTGGTCGAAAGCTGAAAATTCTGAGGACTGATGGTGGTGGAGAGTATGTATCAAAAGAGTTCAATACACTATGTGTAAAAGAAGGGATTGTGCATGAGGTGGTTCCACCTTACACTCCACAGCAAAATGGGGTTGCAAAACGCAAGAACAGAACCATCATGAATATGGTGAGAAGTATGTTGAATGGAAAGCATCTACCTAAAGAATTATGGGGATAAGCAGTTTCGACAGCAACATATATATTGAACAGATGTCCGACGAAGAAGCTTGAAGGAATTACACCAGAAGAATGTTGGTCTGGTGTCAAGCCCAGTCTCAGTCACTTGAAGGTGTTTGGATCTATAGCGCATAGACATGTGCCAGATCAGTTGAGAAGGAAGCTTGGTGATAAGTCGAATCATATGATCTTGATAGGATATCATTCGACAGGAGGTTATAAGCTGTTCGACCTAGTGAATAAGCAGGTAGTGATCAGCAGGGACGTGATCATAGATGAACTTAAAGAATGGGACTGGACTGAGAATGCCAAGAAGGATTTAGTGAGAATCTCTTGTGAAGAACCAACCACTGAAGTCGAAATAGAAGTTCGACAAGAACCACTTGCAGATGAAGCAGGTTCAAGCAGACCTCGACGAACAAGACACATGCCTGCAAGGTTACAAGAATGTGTAATTACATCAGATGATGTAGTCGATGAAGAGGGTGAGCTGGTACATTATGCTTTCTATGCAGATGTCGAACCAGTCAATGCAGCTGAGGCGCTGAAAGATTCAAAGTGGGTGAAAGCAATGACTGAAGAGTTGGAGTCCATCGAAGTCAATGATACCTGGTCACTTGTCGAATTGCCGCAAGGCAAGAAGGCAATTGATGTGAAGTGGGTTTACAAGGTGAAGGTAAATCCTAAAGGAGAAGTAACTCGACATAAGGCGAGACTTGTGGCGAAAGGATTTCTTCAGAATGAAGGAATCGACTTCAATGAAGTATTCGCACCTGTTGCTAGAATCGAAAGAATCAGGTTGGTTGTTAGTCTAGCAAATATGAACAACTGACACACATGTCAGATGGACGTGAAATATGCATTCCTTAATGGCCCCTTAGACGAAGAAGTTTATGTTGCACAACCAGCTGGGTTTGTGAAACAAGGCGAAGAAAGAAAGGTGTACAGGCTTCATAAATCCCTGTATGGACTTAAGCAAGCACATCGAAATGAGATTCCATTATCTTCGAGAGTAGGCAGCAGAAGGGAAGATGAAGTTGGAACACCGCAGAACTGAGAATCAGATTGCAGATATCATGACGAAGGGAGTGCAGGTCGAAGCCTTCAGAAGACTAAGAGCCATGATGAATGTAGACAGTTTAGACACAATGAACTAAGTGGTGTGTTAAATGTAATTCATAGTGTGTCGAAGTCGAAATAGCAAGGAAGCAGTCGAAGTCTAAGTCAAGTGTCGAAGTTTCGAAGCTTTCAGTGTGTCGAAACAGTTTGTTTTGACACATATTTGTTTTGATGAGATTTGATATGATTTAGATTTGATTTGATTTTGAATATTTTAGGCCTTTTATGTTTTGGACTTTTGTAAACCTAAAACTATAAATAGGTGCCTTACTTTGTAATCAAATAGAACAGATTTCACAGTTGCAGAGTTTAGCAAGTGAAAGTTCAATAGTAATCAGAAATCCCACAATTTGTGGGTACCACAATTTTCTCTAAATATTTCTTCTCTCATTCTTCTCTTTCTTGCTGTTTGTTTGTTATTCTTCTTCTCTTTTACTGTTCTTGATAACTCGTTACTTGTTATCACCATTACTATCATATTGTGGGTTTGTTCATCAATCTTGAGATCAAGATTGAAGAGAATTCTTCATAGGGTGTGAGATGAATTTCCAACATTCTTTAATATTATGTAATGAACTTTTTTATAAATATTACAATTTTTGTTAAAATAAAATTGTTGTCAAAATAAAATTAATGAATAAAAGTGGTATATACAACTAAAATAAATAATAATGAAATATAAAATTTTAAGTCAATAAGGCAAGAGGTCGAACTAAAAATGTTATTATTGTAGAAAAAAATACATAGACGACTAAATAATTCTCTTAAAATTACAAGATTTTATCCTGCCATCCCAAAAGTTTGACCAGACCCATAGATCTTATGTATTTACCATACTAATCATGTAAAATATAAAAATTAATTTCACAATTCCATTGTAAGATTTTGAGTAATTTGAAAAGCTCTTGTCAATACGGATTTTTCAGAAAAACAACAAAATTTATTACAAGTGACTGCGTGAGTATCAATTTTTACCGAATTTTTATGTTTATACTAGTTCTTTTTGTAAAATAAATCATGCATTTTTTCCGCATTTTTAGAAAAGTCATGTAAAAACTCTTGTTTTTTATGCATTTTTATCGAATTTCAAAAGAACCGATAAAAATGCTTACTTTTTATCAGATATTTTTAAAAAAATCGGTAAAAATGCATACGTTCCTCCAATTTTTTTGAAAAATCTAGTAAAAGGGCATGTTTTCTAACTGATAAAAAAAAACAGTAAAATTGCATGTGTGTATACTAGTGGTTTTGAAAAAATCGGTAGTGTAAAATTAGCTTTTGATTATCCAGAAATTTCAAAAAATCCGTTAAATGCATGAAGTTTTTTGGATTAAAAAAATGTAGTTTAAATTGATTGTTTTTTTTGGTGAAGGCCAGAGGATCAGACAACTTTATTGCAGTAAGGGCTCGTGCGAAGGGGGATGACGTTAAGAACTCGTCTCTCCAAGAGAGAAGAGTAGCCTTGGTAGGTTCTCATAGGAGGAGGTTGGCAGACGAGCTTCTTCGTGCACCCTGCAATATCAGACATATAGGATCTAGACCTGCTGTTAGATGGACCAGAGATCCTGATGCTGAGTTAGTTGTCGAGGATTCCAGGCAGCAATTGAGGATGACAAATAGGTTGTGGCCGAGACATGGGTACCCCATCATTCTGAGACAGAGGCTACGACTACTATATAGGATTTTCCACATACAACTATTGAGGCGCCTACTATAGATTATATGGAGGACCACACAAAATGGTCGATGCAATCACAACCGTTTAAAACTATCGAAAAAAATCTCAATCCTTAAAATTACACTACTGGATTTTTTGCACATCCTCTAAAACCCCAGTATGCGCAAGAGGATTTTAAAAAAGTCAATACTTTTAAACTATCAATATTTTTGACGTTTTGCACAAAAATCCAATACAACAAGGTGATTTTTAAAAAATCGATAAGTGACATTTTGCTTACCAAAAAGTGAATTATTAAATTTTTTGATTCGTACCAAATTTATTTGTTCTATCAAATTTTATTGTCCGAATGTTTTGACAAAATTTAAACAAAGATGATTTCGGTATTATGAAAAAATGGAGTGTCAGGTCAAATTTAATTTTTGGGATGACAGGATAAATCTCTAAAATTACATTCCAAAACTTGGGCCGAAGCCCACATATAAAATACTTTCACTTCATCATAGTAAAACAACGTTACCGAGTTAATTAAGGGTTATTTCCGTTAAACCAAAACATCCCAACGGCTACTTTCATATATAACAGAACCATTTTATTACACATTTTACAGTTCTCGCTAACTCTTTCGTATCTCATCATCATCTTCTTCTTGAAGCTTTTCTCGAAGCTTTCATCACTCAGAAACTGCGCAAATCCATCACCATATCACGCTTCCCATCATTCTTTCGTCTCCCATTTTCTTCTCCTCGAAGCTTTTCTCGAAGCTTCATCAATAGGAGACTGCGCAAATCGATCACCACAACACGCTTCCAATTCCCTTTCCTTATTATCGCCATCATTTCTTCATTTATTTTCCATTCTTTTCTTTCATTTCTCTGAAACTTCTTTTCTTTCTTGCAGGTTTCTTTGATAATGGATTCAGGATGGTGGAGGCCTTTTTCAAAGGCCGATTCCCGAGTCCCTTTCCAAGAACGCTTCCTTCATCAGAAGAATTCTTCGCAGGATCAGGATAACGTAAGCGACTTCTCTGACTTTTACTGTTTTTATTGATTTTAGAATGATTTTAGGGTTTCTCGAAGTTTGATTTGATTATATCGATTCGGAATTTCTCAATTTAGGTTTTTTTTTAACAGTTGGATAGGTTTATTCCAAATAGATCAGCAATGGATTTCGGTTACGCTCACTATATGCTGACGGAGGGTACAAAGGGAAAAGAAAATCCAGAGGTGATTACACCATACCAGAAAAAACTCGCAGAAGCCGTTAACATCAATGACAGAACTCGAATATTGGCTTTCAAGAATAAGCCTCCGCCACCTGTTGAACTCATACCTAGGGAAATTCTTTCACCGCCTCCTCAATCCAAATTATCCAAACCCAAAAGATGTATTCCTCAGGTTAGTTGTTTCAAAGTCTTGTGTTTCTATATTCAATAATCAAAGTCTTTCAATTTTTTTTTCAATTTCAATTTGTTTGTTTTGAATGTGTATGTAAAAATGTTTTTGCAGACTTCTGAGAGGACCTTGGATGCCCCCGATATCTTGGATGATTTTTACTTAAATTTACTAGATTGGGGTAGCGACAATGTCCTTAGTATCGCCCTTGAAAATACAGTTTATCTTTGGAATGCTTCAGATAGTTCCACTTCAGAACTTGTCACTGTGGATGAGGAATATGGTCCTGTCACAAGTGTTAGTTGGGCCCCAGATGGACGTCATTTAGCTCTTGGTTTGAACAACTCCCATGTCCAGATATGGGATACCGCTGCTTCAAAACAGGTAAATATCATATAAATCATTAGACTTTGTTCTTATGGAACTCTTTGTGTTGTTATTCATCATACTATAGATGCAAATTGCTTAGGGCAAAATATGTTTTTGATTCTGAACAGGTAAATATTATATAAATCATTAGGCCTTGTTCTTATGATGCTGTTTGTGTTGTTTATTCATCATACTATAGATGCAAATTGCTTAGGGAAAAATATTGTGTTGTTATTCATCATATATAGATGCAAATTGCTTAGGGGAAAATATGTTTTTGGTTCTGAACGGGTAAATATTATATAAATCATTAGGCCTTGTTCTTATGGTGCTGTTTGTGTTGTTTATTCATCATACCATAGATGCAAATTGCTTAGGGCAAAATATGTTTTTGGTTCTAAACAGGTAAATATCATATAATTCATTAGGCATTGTTCTTATGGTGCTGTTTGTGTGTTTATTCATCATACCATAGATGCAAATTGCTTAGTGCAAAATATGTTTTTGGTTCTGAACAGGTAAATATCATATAAATCATTAGGCCTTGTTCTTATGGTGCTGTTTGTGTTTTACTCATGATACTATAGATGCAAATTGCTTAGGCAGAATATGTTTTTGGTTCTGAACAGAATTTGTCCAGTTATTCTTTTTTTTTAACCATTCTTTGTTTTGTTTTAAACTTAAAATTGTTCTCAAGTCTCATATTTGTATGGTTTCATTTTGGTTTCTGTAGCTAAGGACATTAAAGGGTGGACATAGAGCAAGAGTGGGTTCACTGGCTTGGAACAGTCACATTCTGACAACAGGAGGAATGGATGGTAAAATAGTAAACAATGATGTTAGAGTGAGATCTCACATTGTTGAAACGTACAGAGGACACAACCAGGAAGTTTGTGGGCTCAAGTGGTCATCCTCAGGACATCAACTGGCTAGTGGTGGAAATGATAATGTTGTTCACATATGGGATAGGTCCGTGGTTTCCTCAAATTCACCCACTAATTGGCTTCATAGGTTTGAGGAACACACGGCTGCTGTGAAGGCACTAGCTTGGTGTCCTTTTCAGGGTAACCTATTGGCATCTGGTGGAGGTGGGGGTGATCATTGCATTAAACTGTGGAACACACACACAGGTGCGAGACTGAATTCTTTCGACACAGGATCACAAGTTTGTTCTCTGCTCTGGAACAAGAATGAGCGCGAGCTTCTTAGCTCACATGGGTTCACTAAAAACCAGCTCACCCTTTGGAAGTATCCTTCAATGGTGAAGATGGCGGAACTCAACGGTCACACCTCGAGAGTGCTGTACATGACACCGAGCCCGGATGGGTTTACTGTGGCATCTGCAGCCGCAGATGAGACTCTCAGGTTTTGGAATGTCTTTGGAAACCCAGCAACAGCAGGAAAAGCTGTGCCAAAGGCATATAATGAACCGTTTGCAAAATTCAACCGTATCCGGTAAAAAGGAACTCTCATATGCAAAGCAGGTAGGTTTCTTTCGACCAACATTTGGCGGATCTGTTACTTACAATGATCAACCATATTCCAAGTTCTTAAAAAGCAGGTAGGTTTCTTTCGACGATTTTCTGTGCAACACTGGCTCTGAATATACTGACAAGTGAAGAATGATGTTTTGTTTCCTCACCTAACTGTGAAAGAAACACCGACATATGCAGCTTGTTCACATATGGTCTCTATGAGCTAGGCTTGAGAGGTAAATTGATGCTTCCAATAGAGTCTCAATTATTCATAATCATGCTCGAAAACAACATAATAGTTTTAATATACTGACAAATATTTTTGTATCCTTAATTGTATGAAAACATGTGTCAAGGGGTGTCTGGTGGAGAGAGGAAAAGAGTCTGTATTGGCAATGAGATCATAATCAATCGTTCTGTTGTGTTTCTTGATGAACCATTATCTAGTTTGGATTCTACAGCAGCCTTAGGGATTGTTCAGATGCTACATGACATAGCTGTGGTTTGCATCTATCAGTTTAAGGCAGAGTTGTTAGTGTTGGTTTCAAGCGGCTGGAGAAGAGTTTAGCGGCAAATTTACTTGAGGATAAGTTCTATTGTGTTTCTGATACTGATAATGGTCGTTGATGTAATGAGAGTATTCATTGGACATATCTTGTATAGTTATGATATTTTGGCTCGTACCTGCATTGCTTTCATATTTTACTGTCAAACTAATTTGAGATTGTTGTGGATCTGCTAGCTGGTGTTTGTGTTATGAGTGGTCTAAAGCCTACTCGATTATGGGGTGGGTTTGATGGAAATTTTCACTTTTGTAAAAGATGTTGTAGATTCATTGATTGACGTGGAGTTAATATTTTGCTTTAGCGTATTTTTGTATGAACTCTTTGTGTTAGGTGTGGCGTTATAGCTAATAACAAGTTTCTCTCTGCTTTTTAAAAAGTATGAAACAGAAAATATGTTAAATGATTTAACTCTATTTTTCTTCAACTAAACAAAATGTTAAACAAAAAATAACATGGAGTAAATCAAAGTAACATTTCCTAAGTTATAATGTATAATATAATTGAAGATGCTTATGTCATATACAGTTGCAAGTTTCGTCGGAAGAATTCTTCACAGGATCATGACAATGTAAGTGATTTCCCTCACATTTACTGTTTTTTATTGATTTAGAATGAGTATTTATTTATTTATTTTTTAGTTTGATTTGCTTTTATCCATTCAGAATTTCTCAATTTTGGATATATTTTTTGCAACAGTTGGACAGGTTTATTCCAAATAGATCAGCAATGGATTTTAGTTAAGCTCACTACATGCCGACGGAGGGTAGAAGGGAAAAGAAAACCCAGCCGTGCTTTTATCATACTAGAAACAATTCGCTGAAGTCCTTAACATCAATGATAGAACTTGAATATTGGCCTTCAACAATAAGCCTCCAAAACCGGTTGAACTCATACCTAGGGAAATTCTTTCACCTCCTCCTCAATCTAAATCATCCAAACCCCAACAATGTATTCCTCAGGTTAGTTATTTGAAAGTCTTGTGTTTTTATATATTCGATAATCGAAATTGTTAGATATACTGTCAAATATTTTGTATGCTTAATTATATGAAAACGTGTTTTAAGACACAATGATATCACAATCAATCCTTCTCTTCTATTTCTTGATGAACCAACATCTAGTTTGAATTCTACAACAGCCTTGAGTATTGTTGAGATGCTACACGACATAGCTGATTGATGATTGATGGATTGTATTATGTCAGGCTGGGTAAACTATAGTGATAACAATCCACCAATCATCAATCAGACTTGTTTCACAAGTTTATAGGGCGTTCACCTCTCATTACCATGAACAGAGTTTTTATTGGATCGCACAAATGGAAATATGACTGATATTTCTGTACCATCAGAGTAAGAGGTTAAAGTTCAGATGGAAAATGCAGAAGCTGAAACATCGAATGGGAAACCATCAGCTGCAGTTGTACAAGAGGTAAATAAATTCACATGATCAATTTATAAATATGTTCTTTTATCACTGCAAATATATTACATTTGCTTTTAGTCCTGGTAAAAATTATTTTCTTTTTTAACTACATAAAGACCATAATTAATAATACACTCATTAGCGGTCTAACAAAGCACCTATGGAAAAACAAAGTATATTTGCAAGGATTAATTTTTATTTATACCCGGTCTAAAGACAAAAAGTGGTATATTTTGGTGTACTAAACCAATTTAGAGCATTTCGGAATCATTTGATTAGAAAGACAATTTGATAGCTGATTATAGATGAATTTTCAACAGTATCTAGTGGAGGCATATGAGACTAAAGTAGCAGAGAAGAAAAAACTATTGGTTCCAATTTCTCTTGTTCACGTAAAAGATAGTAAAGAGCAAGTTGGTCAGAACAATATTCAATATTATTTTCTAGAGGATTCAAAGAATGTAGGCATGACTGTTTAGCTGGTTGGGAATTACACAAGCTCTTTCTACTGCAATCCTTCTGGGATCACTTTGGTGGCAGTCTGATGCTAGCAACCCAAAGGGTCTTTAAAACTAGGTAAGCACTTTCAACTTAAAATAGTTATTGATTAGACTTTACTTGTCTCTCAGCCTTGATGAGACCGAATAGTTACGAAAAAAAGGTGTTGGAAGTTAAGACTTTGATTCTTGACCGACCTTTTTGGATTATAGGCTGGATTGCTTTTCTTTATTGAAGTGTTTTTGGGATCTTCTCCCGTGTAAACTGCAATATTCACATTTCCTCATGAAAGAGCAATGTTGAATAAGGGAAGAGCAACAGATATGTACAGATTAAGTACATACTTTGTGGCTAGAACTACATGTGCCCTTTCATTAGACCTTGTATTACCGGTGCTCTTCCTCCTAGTTGTTTATTTCATGGCTGGTTTGAGACTCAGCGCAGGACCCTTTTTCCTGAGTATTCTTACAATCTTTCTCTGCATTGGCAGCTCAGGTATGCACTGTAGCAGTAATTTACAATACTGTTTAGTTTGTAAATAACATAAACTTAATCGGTCTTTAATTATGGCTAACTTGTAATTACCGATGATGATTATAGGGACTTGGACTTGATATTGGGGCAACACTAATGGACTTGAAAAGAGCAACAACTTTGGCTTCACTCACTGTCATGACTTTCATATGTTGGCTGGGGGTTTCTTTGTAAAGGTAAATTTGTTTAACTTAACCTCATTTCGTATTTCCCTAATAATGATACTGATTGAGTAATTGACACATGCTTGCTAAATTTGACAGAACGTCCATTCATATCTTGTTTTCAGTACCAATCTTACAACTACCAGACGAACATGCTTCTGCCAAAACTGCAATATGATCGAACACATCACACCTAGCATAAATGGGATCAGAATTGACAGTGGTTAAATGGGGTTGTTGCTTTAATAACCATGGTTTTGGTAACCGTTTATTGGCATATTTTTCTCTGCCGTGGATGAAAAATCAGCCATCAGCATAGCAGTACTTGTGACAAAGGGTGATATTGAATGACGGCTCATAGTTATACTATCGTATAAGGATTGTGACGAAGGGTGATATTGAATGACGGCTCATAGTTATACTATCGTATAAGGGAAGACTTGCAAATGAAGTGCTAAGCTTAATTTGTTTGGCTTCATTTGGCATTCTAATAACCAATGCAAGTTCAATATTTCTGGTAGAGTAGAGGTGTTTTGAGATTATGGCCGGATTAATAGATTGATGTGAAATCAGTTTAGATGTATTTAGATAAGGTTTGCATATATCAGTTTAAGGAAGAGTTGGTAGTGGTTGTTTCAAGCGGGGTTGGAGAAGAGTGTTCATTGGAGTTTCATTTCATCTCTTGTATAGTTATGATATTTTGGATCCTACTTTACTGTCAAACTAATTTGAGAATGTTGTGGATCTGCTAGCTGGTGTTTGTGTTATGAGTGCTCTAAAAGGCTACTCAATTATGGGGTGGGTTTGATGGAGATTTCCCTATTGTGAAAGATGTCGTAGATTCATTGATTTGATTGACATGGAGTTAATATTTTGCTGTAGTGTATTTTTGTTGTGTTGTTTGTTCACTTGTTCTTAAACCATTCTCATTTATATGAATTATTTTGGGTATGATAGCTAATAAAAAGTATGAAACATAAAATATTTTAGATGATTTAACTCCATTTTCCTTCAACAAACAAAATGTTGATACAAAAATTAACATTTTGAACAAATACAAATCAAAATTTCATAAGTTATACTGTAATTTACAATATAATTGAAGATGCTTATGTCACACGGTTGCAAGCTTCATCCGTCGCCTACAATTCTAATGTGAAATAGTTTTAGGCAGACCCGTACACACATGTGACTTAACAATAAAAAACAAAACTCCATATTTAATATATAAAATAAAACAAAACAAAAATAAAGTTCATTCCAACAATTCATTGTATTACACGATGACACTGATCTAGAAGGGGTTAAATAAATCACTAATTTTTAATAATTTTTTGCGCTTAAAATTTTATTTTAAAAATGTGCGAAAGCGGTCTTAGATCAAAACTCGTCTAAACAAACTGTTATTGGATAGATCGAATATGCGAAACCGAATGGAATAATTTTGATGAGATAGTAGAATCAATAAGTTTTACAATATGAAAACCACTTAAGGTGAATCAATTTTCAATATTTTGATGAGATAGTAGAATCAATAAGTTTCACAATATGAAAACCACTTAAGGTGAATCAATTTTCAATGATTAATTGTAGATAAAATTGAATAGACAATATATCGACCAATTTGTGTGAAATAGTTTTAGGCAGACCCGTACGCACATGTGACTTAACAATAAAAAACAAAACTCACATATTTAATATATGAAATAAAACAAAACAAAAATAAAGTTCATTCCAACAATTCATTATGTTACACGATGACACTGATCTAGAAGGGGTTAAATAAATCACTAATTTTTAATAATTTTTTGCGCTTAAAATTTTATTTTAAAAATGTGCGAAAGCGGTCTTAGATCAAAACTCGTCTAAACGAACTGTTATTGGATAAATCGAATATGCGAAACCGAATGGAATAATTTTGATGAGATAATAGAATCAATAAGTTTCACAATATGAAAACCACTTAAGGTGAATCAATTTTCAATGATTAATTGTAGATAAAATTGAATAGACAATATATCAACCAGTTTGTGTGAAATAGTTTTAGGCAGACCCGTACACACATGTGACTTAACAATAAAAAACAAAAGTCACATATTTAATATATGAAATAAAACAAAACAAAAATAAAGTTCATTCCAACAAATCATTATGTTAGACGATGACACTGATCTAGAAGGGGGTTGAATAAATCATTAATTTTTAATAATTTTTTGCGCTTAAAATTTTATTTTAAAAATGTGCGAAAGCGGTTTTGGATCAAAACTCGTCTAAACGAACTGTTATTGGATAGATCGAATATGCGAAACCGAATGGAATAATTTTGATGAGATAGTAGAATCAATAAGTTTCACAATATGAAAACCAGGTGAATCAATTTTCAATGATTAATTGTAGATAAAATTGAATAGATAATATATCGACCAATTTGTGTGTTATCAATATATCAACCACTTGGCATTCAAAACATACCAAGTCAAATTTCCTTTGATTTGTAGTGCATAATTTTTCACACTCGCAATCAAAGTAATTACAATGGTTTTTCACAATAGTTTTTAACACTACAAATCAATCAAAATATTTCTAATAATTGATCACACACAAACTTCAACAATATAAAGGAGAGAGAGAGAGAGACATACACACACCTGATTTATTTAGGAAGTTTCCCTTTCGTCTTCGCTTCGGGTACGTTTGCCCCAATTTTAAAAACTAGAATTGAGATATGTATAATATATGTTTGCAAAATTTAGTACAAAAGAAGTCATAGCTAACCAACAATCTAACTCAATTGTTGAAGTTGAATTTAACCACTTCTCTCCCCTTGATTCCAGCTGAATCAAGTGCATCAAACATTTCGAACAAACCTCCAGTTACCGCTACTCACTTGACCGAATCTTCCGTTCTTCAAGTCTTTCACTCGGCTGATTTCGGTTGCAAGATGTTTGACCCCAAATATTTCATAACAATCATCTGACTATCATTACTCACTTGACCGAATCCGACTTGACCGCATAAGTCTTCTGTTGTCTGTCCCAAATGTATTCCATAAGAGTCATAGTCTTATGACTAAACTCTTGGTCACCAAAAAGAGAAATATAAGGGATGCTTGGCACAACAATTCTGACATGATCTAATATGCTTTGGATCAACGATCTGTAGCATAAGGATGAACCTCTGCTGCTTTCCTTCAAAGCATAAATGCGTCTGGCAATATAATAAGGCCAGTTTACCATCTTCTTGTTCTTGAGAAGATAAACCAAATGAACTTCGGCTTGATCAACTCTTAAATAACCTCCTTTATTTAGACGTAGAATGTGGGAGACAATCCACTACAGGATTTGATCCTCCCGTTTCAACAGACTAGTTGTGACCGACTTGGGAAAAAAGCCACTTGCAACTACTTCCTCAAGATAAGGGTCCTTAAGCATGGAATTCAATGAAGACTTAAGTTCATATTGTGGAGCCAATTTAGTATCAATTATTTGAAGATCAGGAAAAAGCCGAGTACACATATCAAATAAGTCTCGCCACACAGTGCTACCAACTGTTGGCTGGAAGTTTCAACTAAAGAAAGGCGACACAAAGACTAACTTGTGGGTCGACAGGCTGGGAAAGATGGTGAAGGAAATAAGGTGAGCCGATGCCAGTAGATGAAGGCTTTTGGGTCGAATCAGACAGGTTCTGTCGACAAGGTCGACTAATGGGTAAGAAGGCCAATGCAAAGGAGGAAAACATTTGAGCGGGCAGAAGATTTGAAAGCTATAAACGTGGGAAGTTACACAAGTGGTGGAAGGACATGTGGCGCCACCAAATTCAACATGGCAGTTATTTTATTTTCCTATTTAAGGAAATGCCCAGTTTCATTTTAAGAGGACGCATTTTGTAACATTGTAAGGGAAAAGCACTCTGAGTACCAAGCGTTAAGAGAAAAGAGTTTCATTCCTGCAAAATGTATGGTCGCGTCCACATTTCCTCTTAATAAGCAATTTATATCATCAACTTTAAAGATTTCTTGTCTTATTGTTTTTGTCTTTTTTTGTTTATGCATTCATCGTTATTTAAGTTAACACAGTCTTTCTCAAATTTATCTTCAACCTACTCTAAACAACACCATTTCACCATCATCCCATACACTCGAAACTATCATTTTGGGACTTGTTTGGCTGATCCCGCAAGTAAACTTGCGTTAGGAGGTCAGAGGTTATTCGCGCAAAAACTGCGTGCTAACAAATTGGCACACCTGGTGGGACACATAGGTTTGGGTGTATGCATCTGCACAGTGGTAAGATGGTGATACCACGTCCAAACGGAGAACCGTCTTTGGAGGGAAATACAATTTGACTCAAACAACCGACGTTGGCGCTGACATTGTGTCTGTGATTTCGAATGCTCATAGTGGGCCTGTCGTGACGCCACGTCGGCCTGAACCTAGGCCTATGGTGACATGAACTAGGGGACAATATATGCCTAGTTTCACAATGTCCACACCCTGGGCCTTTGGGATGCCGACAAAGTTCATGTCGAGCCTGCGTCACAACGGCCCACTCTTTGGGAAAGCTCTTCGTCAGCTTTTTCGCTGTATCAAAGGTTAGGGCCTTTGGCGAACCAAGTTACTAGGCCCTCAGGGTTTAGTGTTCCATAACTTTTATTTCCAACTTTCACTTTAAGTTCTGTCGCCATCATGAGACAGCAGATGGATGAAAGTAATCACAGAATGCTCCACATGTTGACCCAGCAAATTGGCACCATATTAAGATCACTAATGCAAGATTCAACTCAAACTTACCAATAATTGGAAGCTCAGATGACACAGATAGGTGATTTTTTAGGCGCTCATAGGGCCCCGGGTCGACAGATGATGCCGCCTCAACCGAAGACGCCAATTCGACAAGACAAAGCCTTCGACGAGACAA